TGTTTTATACATTGTGCTCAGTTCCTCTTGTCGTTGAGCATCCTTGCACTGGTTTATCTTCTGCTTCACCATCCTCCTCTCCTCTATCAGCTTCCATGTATCCGTCGAGATCCATTCCTTGTCTTCTTTCTTCTTCCTTCCTAATACGACTGTGCAGGTTTCTTTCCACATAGCTTTCAAAGACTTCCAGTGTTCTTCCACACAGGTTTCTTCAGGGATGTCCCTCGACGTCTCCCATTTTGTCTTGATGGCTGCCTTGAAGATCTCCTTTGTAGTTTCATCCTTCAGTTTCCGAGTGTTGTACTTGAATTGAGGTCTATCACCAGCTTCCTTGAAGGCTTTTAACTTGATTTGGAAGGTTCCTTGCACTAGATAGTGGTCTGAACCTACATCTGCTCCTCTTCTTGACCTTGTGTTAAGTAGACTGCGTCTCCATTTTCTTGAGATTGAGATAAAGTCGATTTGATTTTTAGTGTGTCCATCTGGTGAAATCCATGTCGCTTTGTGGATATCCTTGTGCCTGAACACACTGCCTCCAATCACCAAATCGTTGAATGCACAGAATTCTGCAAACAATTCTCCATTCTCATTCATTTCACCTAGCGCCTCTCGACCCATGGTTAGTTCTCTTCCCGTGTTGTCCCCTCCCAGTTTGGCATTCATGTCGCCCATCAGAATTTTGATATCGCCAACTGACGTCTTGTCCAGTGTTGATTGAAGTTGTCTGTAGAATTCCTCCTTTTTCTCTTGCTCTGCATTATTTGTAGGTGCATAACATTGTATGATTGTGACCTTTCTTCCTTTTGAGTTGAATCTTGCTGTCATGATCCTGGAGGAGATTGGTTCCCACTGCATGAGAGCCTTCGATGCTCTTGAGGACATCATGATAGCCACTCCCTCAGTGTGCTCGTGGTTGGCGTCTGGGTGACAAGTGGAGTAGATTATTGATTCTCCAGTTGACAGTTTGGAGAGTCCACTCCCATTCCATCTGCTTTCGCAAATCCCAAGCACTTCGATGTTATACCTTCTCATCTCCTTTGCAATCTGGGCTGCCTTACTGGGTTCAAACATGGTGCGGACATTCCATGTCCCCACGTTTACTTTCGCTTTCATCGAGAGAAGACACATCGGCCAATTGGCTTCCCGAAGGCTTTCACCAACTGGCGTCATTTCGCCTCTCCGATTCCAGCGGGCAATAAGTTTGTTTTCATTTTTTATATTTTGTTTGTGCTTTGAAGTTTCTTTAGCGGTTAGATTTGTTTTACGGGGTAGGGTTGCTAGCCCTATGCCCAACCTTCCCTCTTTACCCGGGCTTAGGACCGGCTAGTAACTAGTAAACTAGTTCACCAGGCGAGGTTGAATATCACTTACTGAGTAGAAATGAAGACAGATGGATAAGTAAGTAGGTCAGTGTACAGAAAACCTACTTGGACCGGACAGCTACGTAAACTCTCACAGCATCTATCCAATCCAGTATAAACAAAGTTTAATGAAGCAATCACTAGTTCACACGAGACGTGCATCCTGAATTCCACTTCTAGTCAAGTGTATATATATCACATTACCACAGATATTCAGAATACAACAGTATCACTTTACAACGATGACATCCAGTTGTACATCAATTTACATTTTAGTGCTTAGTATCCTCACATCTCTGTTAACAACATTAACAAACATTGACTCATTAGGCTGGCAAGTACGCATTCTCATCTATTTCTGTTCCCAAGATTCTACCATCTCATATGTGTCCTGTTTCCCCAAAATCTTTGGATAGAGTTAACAGTGAATTAGCTAAACAATTTAACTTCACAGTACACAAACAGTCAAACTGAATCCTTTCACTCATGAAATCCAAATTCAATGACTCGTGTTCTCCCCAAAACTTCTTCACTTCTGTAAACAGTGAAACCATCAGGAAGGTGTATCATTGTAAGTGAAGAGAGAGGAGTTGTAGTTCAATGGAACAAACATCCGACATTCAAGTAATGCGCCTCCACTTCAAATTCCATTCCATCTACTGCCTCGACCTGAGAAACCACGCTTATTATCATCCGTCTCTACACATTAAGTGTCTTATAATTTTGCAGTAATCGAACACTTCATTTCACTGTATTTGGATGGTAGGCGTTTCGAATTGATTCAGTCCTACATAGAGTCAGTTTTAGCCAAAGCAGCTCACCGGTGATGTTTCTACACTCAGCACTGACTAGTGACGCAGGTCCCAACCTTTCGAGGAACATCACCATTCCATATGGTTGCAAATACATCACACTGATGACTGTTGGTGAGCATTAAACCTAGTATGAGCAATGTTCCCTGGCGATTGATTCCCACTGTCTATCACGAAGATAAATCTCTACCATACACATGTATCGGTTTGTCATCATTCAAAGGCTTCCGGTTACCTTCGAGATTTGGTTTATACTACACGCTCAGATGCTGGATCATTGTGCTAACAATTTCATATGAAGGCATGTTGTGTATTACGAGTGGATTGATTATTGTTCACATAGTTTATTTCTTCGAATTGGAGGTTTGTGGGGATGTATTGACTTTCTTCATAACTTGGTATTCATCATGGACCGACTTCAGTTGGAGGAAGATTAGAAATCTGGGAGTACTGGACAACTGACTGCTTTGTCGCGGCATGCGACTCTCCGACGGTGTGCATACATGACCCCACCACGGTTCGAACACAGCACCATCATGTTTCGTGGCCACTGCATCACGATTGAGACACTGGTTCGGGATCCACTTGTCCACATTTCCTACTTCTGTCAGTTCACGATATACTACGATCTCGATCCAATGCAATCGTTGAGTAAATGTTCTCGTGTTTCACTTGGTTGGCCCCACCGGTCAACACTTAGAACTGGGAATGTGGGAATCACTTCTCGAAGTAAGACACTAATGAGTGCCAGATTACTTCAGTTTGCAATTCAATAATTTCACTTTGGTACCCATCATGGATTGACATTAGTTAAAGGAACAATAGAAACATGGTACCAATGGACAGTTGTTTCGTCCTTGTATGCGACGCCTCACAACTGCACACGCATGAACCAACCAGAGACTGGTGACATCCAAGTACTGTCTTCAAAGTGAAAAATATTACACTTCGGTTGAATAATGTGGCGAATCGGCTAACATTCAGTGTTCAAATTGCAAAGAATACACAGAGATGATTATGATCACAAATTCGAGTTGGAGAATGTGGAAATTCTACAAAGAGTGGAATAAAAACCTACAAGAGAATTTCTGTGAGTATGACATTCCAACAAGAGGTTAGTCAACAGACGCATGAATACACACTCAGTGTACAATTGAACTGGGAAGGAAAATATCCAGCCGTCAACAAATGAAAAAATTGGTGAAAAAAAAAACAATAATGAAGTACAATGTGACACTAACAAATAGCACAATATCACTCTAACAACGGTTTCTACACAACACAACCGAATGAAATGTAAGCTGAAAGAGATCAAGGTGTGATGAAATCTCTCTCTCTCTCCCTCTCTCTATCTCACTCTCTGCCTCAACCTACAATTGAACAACACTCAACATCAACAAGAACTCTACCTACAGATTCGTGCAACATTGCAATATCCTCCACTCCATTATCAAGTTAATGCTGAGGTTGTCTGTCACCTAGTCTGATGATAAAATCTTCACAACAAAACACCAGAGCTCAGACAACACTCAGACATCCTCATCAGGAGTTACAATTCTTCTTCATCACTTCAAACTCAACACAGTCCTTCTCGCATGTTGGCAACAAGTGGAGAACAATTGAAAGTAACCAGAACTGAAAATACCTCTCTCATCTTCCTTTGAGACTACTCAGTAGGATGCATCCAACATCCATGACCACTATGTTTATTGATGACCACACCACACACCACATAACTAATGATACATATTTCCCTACCTGTGTCAATCATCGATAGAGCCCTAACATCATACAATGTTATCAGTGAAATTTCATCTCCACACCTGACTTGGTGGGCCTCATTAATCACCAACTTACCTACTGAATACTCGACAAATTCATCCTCATATGAGCAACCTGTCTAAAATTAAGTTCTCCACCGATGAAATACCACCACTCAATCACTTACTTAAATCTTATATTCCGAAAACAATCAGTTTCACGGAATTATTCATCACTGACTGATGTTTTAGTTGTAGAACCGCTGAGAACTCTTCCATCCTAGTTTCGCATTACTCGGCAGTACATACACATCAATCACCCTACCAGGGATGGAATTCATCAACTTCAATACTCGTGGTTAACTACAATCAATTCTATCCACAATATGATATGAGCTAGACGTTGTCAAAATACCACACAATGAACAATAGTAACACAAATGCATTTCTATCTCCAACTATCCTCATTTAACGCTCATCATATATATCACATCACATCACATCAAGGCATATTTTATAATAAACATAGAAATGGGAATGTGATTTCGTAGCAGATTCACGAATATACTTTCACACAACACTTGACTAAACGGTGAAGATGGTCACAAGTGAGACAGCTGACTGAAACTTCACAATATACTATATTCAGTAGACAATCCTGAATGCAAACGATTACCAATATTAAATAATTCGTACTAACATAAAACCAGTGATGTGAACAACTTCAAGGAATATGTGAAAAGCAATGCCTTAAAAATAGCAGCTGATGAGAGTACCAATCAGACGACAAACTACACTGTTGTAGCGTCATATGATATCGAAATGCAAGGAAATTATGCATTATGATTCCCTTCGGTATATGACAATCTGCCAATCAACCAGAAAATATCCACATCACACAGAAAACACAACACTTAAAACAAGACCTAAGAAAAGTTAAAAATAACACGATTCATAAACTCGTTGTTTATTTTTTGTGCAAATGCAGTCAGTCATATCAAGTGCATAAATATAAAATAAGATGAGAAGGTGAATGAATGTTCTATAATGATCTCACTGACTGTCAATCATATATTTGACATGATAAATCCCAGTGATCGACTCACACTCGCATATTCCACACACAAATCACCAATGGCAGGAAGAAATACACCACCCGATGCAACACCAATAATGGGACCTTGTGGAGTGAGAAGGAGAGGTCCACCACTATCTCCTGGACCGATTATTTGCTGAGAGATTGGATCTGGTTTGATGCAGATGGGATTTCCAACAGTTTTGTGAAGACATTCCATGACAACAGCACGACCTGGAAGAACAAATGGAAATCGGTGAAAACCGAGTGTGGAAACACACAAACCAATCTCACATTACCACATGCAAGCAAGGCAAAAATACTAAGATACGCAATTCTGTAACTCACCCTTCTTCAACACTCCACCATATCGAGCTGTATCATCTGAAGCACGAACATCTTTGCCATATCCCACAATGTGGACAACAGTGTTCGGCACCGGTATTTCCGATTCACTCGCCATGCTCACCACTTTCACCCCATCTCCCAGATCCACCATTTCCGACAGTGTCACCACCGCCACATCATACCCACCGAAAGTTTGTGTGACGCGCTGGTTGGCTCGTTTCAACTGACATACTGGATCGTATTCTGGAGGCACTTTGATCGATGACGGCTCGTAATTGATCGATCTCTTGTCAAAATCACTCAGCGTCAGAAAGGAAATCTAGGGAAGACAAAAATACTCGACATATGATATCGATGCAACACTTCGAAAGGAGAGAGGACAACTCTGTCACTACAATCACACAGTCATCGTTCAAGGTGGAAATCTTACCCGTCTGATTGATTTCGGTCCACAGACACAATGACCAGCTGTGATGATCGCCTTTGTCGACACCAGTGTGGCTGTACACATCGACTGATCTGTGATCATTAGAGCAAGGAAGGGGAATTCTGTCCGTTCTCGAACTGGCTCTCCACTACGAACAAACCAGGTTGACACACATTGATGCACTGAACAAGAATATATCAACAGCAACACAGTGAAGAAGACAGAATGAGTGGACATTGAACTATCTATCTCCTTCTCCTGCTGTCTACACTTCGCCTATCATACACACTCTCCTATTTATATGCTTATACCCTGGTGATTTGAGCACATGAATGTTGTTTTCACGCCTTTCAATGCACTGTGACAAGGTGAGACTACACACCACATGAGTCATACATTATTCAGACTAATCTATTATTGTAGTCAGTGCACACTTGAATTCATAGGAGACCATGGGACAAAAATACAGCTGTTCAGGTCATTAGTGTCATGAGGCTGTCAGTGTCATGACGGTGAACATTTGAACCAACTATGACTCACTCTGATTAGGGGAGTGAGATTTCCACTGTAGTCATTTTGACAAACCAATTCAATTGGAGATCGGTTTCTCAACAGATTTGAATGTTTCCTTAGATGTTTGAAATATTTCACACAATCGATTTCTTCAATTGTTCCTTCAAAGTTCCCTTCGTGTACACGGTTTGACTCAACTGTCACCTAGTCCACTATACACTACCTATACTTAACTACAAACGTTGTCAGCAGTTCACCTCGCAGCCTCTCGAATACCTGTTGAATATGTTGAAGGATAAGGCAATGGAATAACTTTGTCAAGTAGACAATGACATAATGATATGCACTGTAGTAATCCACCTCCTCCCTAACTCCAAAACTACTATTGAACATCACTGATTCACCCACACACAGAACACTGTTAACTTTTCTACAGCAACAATTACAACTCAGTGATGATTGTAATCACAATCTGGTGACTATGAGACTGATGGAGTAGAAAATGCTGATCGAGAGGATGAAGAACAGACATGACAAAACGTGTCAGTGACAATTTACTCAACAATATACTCGAAATTCATGTCATTGACCTCTTCAGTGGAGGAAAATCCAACACAGACAAAAATGATTGATTTGTTGACGGAGGGTATTTGTCACCACCAACACATTCGATTAATACTCTTTGGTGGTGATGGTGTCAAGAATTCGAGAAGTGATGTTGGAAGTTGGGCTTCCAGCAACAAAATGGCCATTACAACTGAACGTATTGAAGAGGCTATGAATAAGCATTCACTAAAAATGAATGGATACAGTTGGTATCCAATTTACCAGGAGTGATTAGCAAAGGATCGAATAATGTGGAATCAAGATAGATGAATCGAACGACTGAGCTTTACTTACATGATACACATATGGCTTCAGAGTGGCAGTGTCAACATTCGAACACAACATGGTGGTAGGTTATACCAATGGTCTCTTGAATTCACAAATCATCTTTTTGAGTGTCAACTAGCTCAGGCTAGCTCATCATTTCTGTTTAGAAGAACATAAGTCAACGAAGATTTCTTGCAGCAGTGAAAATGAATTTGATATTCAGTTTGAATTAGTCCATCTGATATTCAGGTGATAGACAATAATGTCTGATTCACAATCTATCTTGTACATGTTAACTACATTTTGAAGTCTTCATTGACACGGGAAATAGACTTATATCTCTCGGTAATATAAGCAGTGATTATTCTTTTTGAGTATTCAAATGACTCGTAAACGGTTCCCCTGAGAGATCTGCTACAGCCTGTTCTATCAACCGACTCTGCATCTCAATCACTCGTTCGGAGAGTTTTAAGATCATCATAAGTTAATTCACATTGTTCTGTGGATATCTTTCAGTTCAACAACCTCCTTTATTATACCACCACATAACATTAGTTTTTGACCATGTCGAAACCAGAAAAGATCACATATTTGAGGATTTCATTGCCCTTAGCCTAAATCTGCTCCCTTCTTGCAAGAATTTCTGACTCGAATGTCATTTTGCTCGTAGTTTGATAGGGATATGCATTCACATCAGTTAGTAATTGATCCCGAATTGTTTTGTTCAATATCTTCGCAGTTATTTATACTAGTACTCCCAACGAGTTTGTAATGATTTACCAGACACATGTGTTGCACCTACGAAACACTTGACCAGTTGTGGAATCTTTCGTATTTTGTAGCAGCTTTGACAAACTTAGTAATATGCCGAATGGTACTGTCAATGATCCATCGGTTATGCATGTTAATAATACCGAAGACATGGGGGTGTAACGCAACGGGTACCTAAAAATTTCTAGGTCTGAGAATCCTGACCAGTTGAGAAACAGGATTTCACCATCATGATGAAGTGTCTATCATCACACGGTTCCTGTCAACATGGAAATGTCATCAAATTTATTCAATGAGCTTTCAGATTTCAAAGAGTATAAATTGGCAAACAATTCTACATTTCCACACGATTGTCTGGTGAGGCTTTCATTGCACTTTCCTTTCCTGATTGTAATAGTCTTCAGCGAGGCAGGTTTCTTTCATATAAAACACTTCATGCATAAATGCTTACCTTGCCTTACAGCATACATATTTCTCACACTACTCATTGCTGTGATGTGGTTCCATATGCCCTGCCACTATCTAAGCAACCTCGACATTTCTGTACTAATCGACAATAATCAGCGTGAATGTCTTTATGGAGTAAACCAGAGAATAACGGATGATAATGTATCTTCAAATGTAATCATGAATTCAGTAAGAATTTTCAATATGTCAATGTGTATGAAGAGACCAGTTTGTCGAGGATGTATGAACGCTCATTGTGGACATATTTGCACTGTAGACATTCACGTAGGAGGGAACTGAATCACAAATTAGTTATTGTGTTCTGTAGTCATAAATTGACAGCTGAGGTAGACACTGAAGTTTGATTACGTCCTTACACTATGTTGTGAACACAGTTTTCTTTAGTGAGGGTCAGGTCTGTGAATCGATGTTCTTCGAGTTCACATTCGAGTGAAGTAAGTGGCAGATAATTGTTGGATGTGTATATCAGCAGATTTCTATGAGGATGTGGGCCTACTACTCCACTAACAATACATTCCGTCCTTCAGTTTGTCAACCTCGTATTTATAGGTGTTGTTTCTGTGGTAGTGCTAACCGACTTCCAGAGTACCCGGTTTCCTCTTCTTCTCTTCCTGAATTTGTAGTTCATCCACAGTTCGCTTTCAACTCAACTAATCCTCAGTTGATCAATCATATCCGATTTATGTAGTCATCTCTGTAAGCATACACACACTGTGTAATATAGTGTTGCTTCATTCGCATACAACCTCGTCTGGTTCACTTGTTCACTAGTTACTAGCCCGTCCTATCCCCGGATAAACAGAGAAGATTGGGCATAGGGCTAGCAACCCTACCCCAGAAAACTAATCCAGCCGCTAAAGAAATTTCAAAGGTCAGACAAAATACAAAAAGCAAAAACGATCTTATTCTTCGTTGGAATCGGGAAGACAAAATGACGCCGGTTGGTGAACGTTTACACGAAGCCAATCGGCCGATCTATCTTCGCTTCCTCGATGAAAGCGAAACTAAACATGGGAACATGAAATGTCCACACTGTTTCAAACTAGCAAGGCTGACCAGATTGCAAAAGAGATGAGGAGGTATAGCATACAATTGGTAGGAATCTGCGAGGGATATGCAGATGGAATGCAAGTGAACTCTCCGAACTGTCAACTCGACAGTCAATAATCTACTCCAACATTGTCACCCAGACGACAAACACCAGCACATAGAGTTATGGAGTGGCTATCACGATGTCTCCAACAATATCGAAGGCTTTCATGCAACGCGAACCGGTCGCCTCCAGGATCATGATAGCAAGATTTAAATCAGAATGAAGGAGAGTCACAATCATTCAATGCTACGCCATGCACCCACAAATAATGCAGATGAAGAGAAGAAGGAGGAATTCTACAGACAACTGCAATCAACACTGGACAAGACCCCAACACAGATGGTCACATCAAATTCATTCTGATAGGCGACCTGAATGTCAAAATGGGAGTGGACAAGACAGGAAGAGAGCGAATCATGGGTCGAGAAGCACTGGGTGAAATGGTGGGAGAGAATGGAGAACTGTTTGCATATTTCTGCACATTAAACGATTTGGTGATTGGAGGCAGTGTGTTCAAGCACAAGAATATTCACAAAGCGACATGGACACACCAAGATTCAGATCGACTTCATCTCAATGTGAAGAAAGTGGAGATGAAGACACAGCCTACTTGATACAAGATCAGATCAGGAAGGTGAGCAGATGTAGGTTCACACCACCCACTATCTACTGCAAGGAACCTACCTCCCAATTCAAGTTGAGAGCCTTCAAAGGAGTTGGTGATGAACCACAGTTGATGTTCAACACAGAGAACGGAAAGTGAAGGACTAGACTACAAAGGACATCTTCATATCAGTCAGCCGTCAGGACAAAATGGGAGATATTGAGCAACATGTCTGAAGGAACCTGTGTGGATGAACACTGGGACTCGTTGAAAGAGATGTAGGAAGAAGCCTGAATAACCGTGTTAGGGAGGTAGGAAGGAAGGAAGGAAGGAGGGAGGAAGGGAGGGAGGAAGGAAGAAGAGGAAGAATAAGCAAGACAAGGAATGGATCTCGACGGACACACAGAAGCTGATAGAGGAGGGAGAGGAAGACGAACCAGTGGAGTGTAGTGCTAGGATGACTAACGAAAAGAAGAACTGAGTACAACGTATAAACCACTACACTGGACAAAGAAGTGAAGAAGAGTGCGCGCAAAGACAGAAGACACTTCTACGATATATTGGCAAGTGAAGCAGAACATGCTGCAGTTAAGAGAGACAGAGACCTGACAACATTACATCAAATAACCAGGATACTATCTGGGAGAGAAGAGATCAACACAGATGAAACCGATATGAGATAGTGAAGGAAGGCTAGTTATCAAAGAAGAGAAACAAAGGAAACGATGAGCTGACCACTTCAAAAGGCTGTTGAATCGACCACCACCTCCAACTCGTCGAGAAATACCACGTGCAGCCCAGCCACAGAACTACCAGTGAATACAAGCCCTCCGACGAGAGCAGAAGTCGTGAGTGCCATAGAACTGCTGAAATTTGGGGAAGCAGCAGGACGAGATGAGATTATGCCAGAAGCACTGAGAACAGACGCAAAGACATCAGCAGGAGACATGCTCATACCACTATTGCAGAAGGTTTTTCAGGAAGGAAGGGAGGAAGGAAAGGTACCTGGAGATTGATATGAAGAAGGGCTACCTTGTGAGACTGTTGAAGAAGGGAGACATAATTGTTTGCAAGAAGTGGCACGGAATCCTGCTCCTGTCCACTCCAAGCAGGATATCAAGCGAAATCATCCTGGAGAGACTAAAGGGCGCGCTGGATTCAAAACTGCGACCGGAACAGGCTTGATTCAGGAAGTATAAATCATGTGCGGTCCAAGTTGGAACGCTACGCTATGCATCATCATGGAACAGAGCATATAATGGCAGTCAACTCTCTATCTCAACCTCAACTATCTTGAAAGAGCCTTCGACAGCGTCGACTGGGAAGTAATTTTGCAGTTGCTTCAATACTACGGAGTACCACAAATATTTATCAACCTCATCAACAGCTATATGTAAAGGCCACATTTCAAGTGATCTACATTGGAAAGCTCAGTGGTGCCTTTGACGAGAAGATAGGAGTAAGACAAGGCTGCGTACAATCACCGACGATCTTCCTGATTGTGGTGGACTGGATCATGCAGCAAACCGTGAGGATCGAGAAGATGGGCATATGCTAGACTGATGAGAGGACCTTAAAATATTTAGATTTCGGCGATGATTTATGTTTTATGTCGCACAAACTCGACGACCTACAGGCGAAAACCAACAAGTTGACAGAAGAGGCCGGGCAGCGAAAACAGGACCCCTTCAAGTAAATGTAGAGAAGACAGAGGTGATGATAACCAACCAACACCATGAAGAATAACAACAAGCTCCAGTCACCATCAAAGGGAGAAACTTAAAAGAAGTAGCCTCTTTCACCCATCTAGGCAGAGCAGCATCGTCTCAACTACAGGCGGTAGTGGCACAGACGAGGACATCAAAGCCAGCCAGGATCAGAAAAGCCAGCAAGACAGGTGTTCATTAACCTGAAACCAGTGTGGAGCTCTTCTGCACTCAGCACAAAGCGTGAACAACATTCAGATTTTCAACATTAATCCAGTCAAGTTAGTGCTTCTATGTGATGGTTCAGAGACTTGTTGCGTTACCAAAATGGATTTCCAACAAACTACAGATATTCATCAACAGCTTCCCACCCTGCCTCGACACTGAAGATCAGATGGCCAGAACAATTAGAATAAGCAACAAGGAACTCTGGCTACCTGCCAACGAACCAACGAAGCAAGATCGTATCGTTGAACAAATATGCAGAAGGAAGTGTAGATGGATTGGATTGGGCATGCAGTGAGAGGGCCGACTGGGGACATCACGCACCAGGCCAGGCACTCGAGTGGAACCCCGAAGGGAAGTGACTAGTTGGTTGTCCGAGGTGAGAGTGACATGTAGGAGATTGTGTGAGGAAGAAATGAGAGGTTGTGGGCTGTCGTGGAAGTAGGTTGAAAAGATTGCAGAGAAGAGATTGCACTTGAGACGTGCTACTGAAGCTCCATATTCCACTAGAAAACCAAGGGACAAATAATAATCATAAATTATTCGCAAAGGTTTGGCACACGTTTGGCGATCTTTAACTGATGAATTCCATCCACATCAATACACACTGTTGACGTGGTAGCCTTTTTCATAGTGAAATATCTTCGAATGTTGACACTGCCACTCTGAAGCCATATGTGTATCATGTAAGTAAAGCTCAGTCGTTCGATTCATCTATCTTGATTCCACATTATTCGATCCTTTGCTAATCACTCCTGGTAAATTGGATACCAACTGTATCCATTCATTTTTAGTGAATGCTTATTCATAGCCTCTTCAAATACGTTCAGTTGTAATGGCCATTTTGTTGCTGGAAGCCCAACTTCCAACATCACTTCTCGAATTCTTGACACCATCACCACCAAAGAGTATTAATCGAATGTGTTGGTGGTGACAAATACCCTCCGTCAACAAATCAATCATTTTTGTCTGTGTTGGATTTTCCTCCACTGAAGAGGTCAATGACATGAATTTCGAGTATATTGTTGAGTAAATTGTCACTGACACGTTTTGTCATGTCTGTTCTTCATCCTCTCGATCAGCATTTTCTACTCCATCAGTCTCATAGTCACCAGATTGTGATTACAATCATCACTGAGTTGTAATTGTTGCTGTAGAAAAGTTAACAGTGTTCTGTGTGTGGGTGAATCAGTGATGTTCAATAGTAGTTTTGGAGTTAGGGAGGAGGTGGATTACTACAGTGCATATCATTATGTCATTGTCTACTTGACAAAGTTATTCCATTGCCTTATCCTTCAACATATTCAACAGGTATTCGAGAGGCTGCGAGGTGAACTGCTGACAACGTTTGTAGTTAAGTATAGGTAGTGTATAGTGGACTAGGTGACAGTTGAGTCAAACCGTGTACACGAAGGGAACTTTGAAGGAACAATTGAAGAAATCGATTGTGTGAAATATTTCAAACATCTAAGGAAACATTCAAATCTGTTGAGAAACCGATCTCCAATTGAATTGGTTTGTCAAAATGACTACAGTGGAAATCTCACTCCCCTAATCAGAGTGAGTCATAGTTGGTTCAAATGTTCACCGTCATGACACTGACAGCCTCATGACACTAATGACCTGAACAGCTGTATTTTTGTCCCATGGTCTCCTATGAATTCAAGTGTGCACTGACTACAATAATAGATTAGTCTGAATAATGTATGACTCATGTGGTGTGTAGTCTCACCTTGTCACAGTGCATTGAAAGGCGTGAAAACAACATTCATGTGCTCAAATCACCAGGGTATAAGGCATATAAATAGGAGAGTGTGTATGATAGGCGAAGTGTAGACAGCAGGAGAAGGAGATAGATAGTTCAATGTCCACTCATTCTGTCTTCTTCACTGTGTTGCTGTTGATATATTCTTGTTCAGTGCATCAATGTGTGTCAACCTGGTTTGTTCGTAGTGGAGAGCCAGTTCGAGAACGGACAGAATTCCCCTTCCTTGCTCTAATGATCACAGATCAGTCGATGTGTACAGCCACACTGGTGTCGACAAAGGCGATCATCACAGCTGGTCATTGTGTCTGTGGACCGAAATCAATCAGACGGGTAAGATTTCCACCTTGAACGATGACTGTGTGATTGTAGTGACAGAGTTGTCCTCTCTCCTTTCGAAGTGTTGCATCGATATCATATGTCGAGTATTTTTGTCTTCCCTAGATTTCCTTTCTGACGCTGAGTGATTTTGACAAGAGATCGATCAATTACGAGCCGTCATCGATCAAAGTGCCTCCAGAATACGATCCAGTATGTCAGTTGAAACGAGCCAACCAGCGCGTCACACAAACTTTCGGTGGGTATGATGTGGCGGTGGTGACACTGTCGGAAATGGTGGATCTGGGAGATGGGGTGAAAGTGGTGAGCATGGCGAGTGAATCGGAAATACCGGTGCCGAACACTGTTGTCCACATTGTGGGATATGGCAAAGATGTTCGTGCTTCAGATGATACAGCTCGATATGGTGGAGTGTTGAAGAAGGGTGAGTTACAGAATTGCGTATCTTAGTATTTTTGCCTTGCTTGCATGTGGTAATGTGAGATTGGTTTGTGTGTTTCCACACTCGGTTTTCACCGATTTCCATTTGTTCTTCCAGGTCGTGCTGTTGTCATGGAATGTCTTCACAAAACTGTTGGAAATCCCATCTGCATCAAACCAGATCCAATCTCTCAGCAAATAATCGGTCCAGGAGATAGTGGTGGACCTCTCCTTCTCACTCCACAAGGTCCCATTATTGGTGTTGCATCGGGTGGTGTATTTCTTCCTGCCATTGGTGATTTGTGTGTGGAATATGCGAGTGTGAGTCGATCACTGGGATTTATCATGTCAAATATATGATTGACAGTCAGTGAGATCATTATAGAACATTCATTCACCTTCTCCATCTTATTTTATATTTATGCACTTGATATGACTGACTGCATTTGCACAAAAAATAAACAACGAGTTTATGAATCGTGTTATTTTTAACTTTTCTTAGGTCTTGTTTTAAGTGTTGTGTTTTCTGTGTGATGTGGATATTTTCTGGTTGATTGGCAGATTGTCATATACCGAAGGGAATCATAATGCATAATTTCCTTGCATTTCGATATCATATGACGCTACAACAGTGTAGTTTGTCGTCTGATTGGTACTCTCATCAGCTGCTATTTTTAAGGCATTGCTTTTCACATATTCCTTGAAGTTGTTCACATCACTGGTTTTATGTTAGTACGAATTATTTAATATTGGTAATCGTTTGCATTCAGGATTGTCTACTGAATATAGTATATTGTGAAGTTTCAGTCAGCTGTCTCACTTGTGACCATCTTCACCGTTTAGTCAAGTGTTGTGTGAAAGTATATTCGTGAATCTGCTACGAAATCACATTCCCATTTCTATGTTTATTATAAAATATGCCTTGATGTGATGTGATGTGATATATATGATGAGCGTTAAATGAGGATAGTTGGAGATAGAAATGCATTTGTGTTACTATTGTTCATTGTGTGGTATTTTGACAACGTCTAGCTCATATCATATTGTGGATAGAATTGATTGTAGTTAACCACGAGTATTGAAGTTGATGAATTCCATCCTGGTAGGGTGATTGATGTGTATGTACTGCCGAGTAATGCGAAACTAGGATGGAAGAGTTCTCAGCGGTTCTACAACTAAAACATCAGTCAGTGATGAATAATTCCGTGAAACTGATTGTTTTCGGAATATAAGATTTAAGTAAGTGATTGAGTGGTGGTATTTCATCGGTGGAGAACTTAATTTTAGACAGGTTGGTCATATGAGGATGAATTTGTCGAGTATTCAGTAGGTAAGTTGGTGATTAATGAGGCCCACCAAGTCAGGTGTGGAGATGAAATTTCACTGATAACATTGTATGATGTTAGGGCTCCATCGATGATTGACACAGGTAGGGAAATATGTATCATTAGTTATGTGGTGTGTGGTGTGGTCATCAATAAACATAGTGGTCATGGATGTTGGATGCATCCTACTGAGTAGTCTCAAAGGAAGATGAGAGAGGTATTTTCAGTTCTGGTTACTTTCAATTGTTCTCCACTTGTTGCCAACATGCGAGAAGGACTGTGTTGAGTTTGAAGTGATGAAGAAGAATTGTAACTCCTGATGAGGATGTCTGAGTGTTGTCTGAGCTCTGGTGTTTTGTTGTGAAGATTTTATCATCAGACTAGGTGACAGACAACCTCAGCATTAACTTGATAATGGAGTGGAGGATATTGCAATGTTGCACGAATCTGTAGGTAGAGTTCTTGTTCATGTTGAGTGTTGTTCAATTGTAGGTTGAGGCAGAGAGTGAGATAGAGAGAGGGAGAGAGAGAGAGATTTCATCACACCTTGATCTCTTTCAGCTTACATTTCATTCGGTTGTGTTGTGTAGAAACCGTTGTTAGAGTGATATTGTGCTATTTGTTAGTGTCACATTGTACTTCATTATTGTTTTTTTTTACCAATTTTTTCATTTGTTGACGGCTGGATATTTTCCTTCCCAGTTCAATTGTACACTGAGTGTGTATTCATGCGTCTGTTGACTAACCTCTTGTTGGAATGTCATACTCACAGAAATTCTCTTGTAGGTTTTTATTCCACTCTTTGTAGAATTTCCACATTCTCCAACTCGAATTTGTGATCATAATCATCTCTGTGTATTCTTTGCAATTTGAACACTGAATGTTAGCCGATTCGCCACATTATTCAACCGAAGTGTAATATTTTTCACTTTGAAGACAGTACTTGGATGTCACCAGTCTCTGGTTGGTTCATGCGTGTGCAGTTGTGAGGCGTCGCATACAAGGACGAAACAACTGTCCATTGGTACCATGTTTCTATTGTTCCTTTAACTAATGTCAATCCATGATGGGTACCAAAATGAAATTATTGAATTGCAAACTGAAGTAATCTGGCACTCATTAGTGTCTTACTTCGAGAAGTGATTCCCACATTCCCAGTTCTAAGTGTTGACCGGTGGGGCCAACCAAGTGAAACACGAGAACATTTACTCAACGATTGCATTGGATCGAGATCGTAGTATATCGTGAACTGACAGAAGTAGGAAATGTGGACAAGTGGATCCCGAACCAGTGTCTCAATCGTGATGCAGTGGCCACGAAACATGATGGTGCTGTGTTCGAACCGTGGTGGGGTCATGTATGCACACCGTCGGAGAGTCGCATGCCGCGACAAAGCAGTCAGTTGTCCAGTACTCCCAGATTTCTAATCTTCCTCCAACTGAAGTCGGTCCATGATGAATACCAAGTTATGAAGAAAGTCAATACATCCCCACAAACCTCCAATTCGAAGAAATAAACTATGTGAACAATAATCAATCCACTCGTAATACACAACATGCCTTCATATGAAATTGTTAGCACAATGATCCAGCATCTGAGCGTGTAGTATAAACCAAATCTCGAAGGTAACCGGAAGCCTTTGAATGATGACAAACCGATACATGTGTATGGTAGAGATTTATCTTCGTGATAGACAGTGGGAATCAATCGCCAGGGAACATTGCTCATACTAGGTTTAATGCTCACCAACAGTCATCAGTGTGATGTATTTGCAACCATATGGAATGGTGATGTTCCTCGAAAGGTTGGGACCTGCGTCACTAGTCAGTGCTGAGTGTAGAAACATCACCGGTGAGCTGCTTTGGCTAAAACTGACTCTATGTAGGACTGAATCAATTCGAAACGCCTACCATCCAAATACAGTGAAATGAAGTGTTCGATTACTGCAAAATTATAAGACACTTAATGTGTAGAGACGGATGATAATAAGCGTGGTTTCTCAGGTCGAGGCAGTAGATGGAATGGAATTTGAAGTGGAGGCGCATTACTTGAATGTCGGATGTTTGTTCCATTGAACTACAACTCCTCTCTCTTCACTTACAATGATACACCTTCCTGATGGTTTCACTGTTTACAGAAGTGAAGAAGTTTTGGGGAGAACACGAGTCATTGAATTTGGATTTCATGAGTGAAAGGATTCAGTTTGACTGTTTGTGTACTGTGAAGTTAAATTGTTTAGCTAATTCACTGTTAACTCTATCCAAAGATTTTGGGGAAACAGGACACATATGAGATGGTAGAATCTTGAGAACAGAAATAGATGAGAATGCGTACTTGCCAGCCTAATGAGTCAATGTTTGTTAATGTTGTTAACAGAGATGTGAGGATACTAAGCACTAAAATATAAATTGATGTACAACTGGATGTCATCGTTGTAAAGTGATACTGTTGTATTCTGAATATCTGTGGTAATGTGATATATATACACTTGACTAGAAGTGGAATTCAGGATGCACGTCTCGTGTGAATTAGTGATTGCTTCATTAAACTTTGTTTATACTGGATTGGATAGATGCTGTGAGAGTTTACGTAGCTGTCCGGTCCAAGTAGGTTTTCTGTACACTGACCTACTTACTTATCCATCTGTCTTCATTTCTACTCAGTAAGTGATATTCATTTTCTACTTGGATCGATAAAATATGATTTGTTATGGTGTCAGTCCTATTCCATACACTTGAATTATTGTAATGTCTATTTTGAACTGCTAAATTGACATCAATGTACCCTCTGGAGACGAAAACACTTTTCTGACTAGATCGACAGTTAAACCTTGTGAAATGGTGGAGAATATTTCTGGTTCAGGTGGATGGTCTTGATTGTATTGTATCCTCTGAGCTGGTTGGGTTGTTCAATCGTGAAGAAGCTTTCATCGTCTTGCTAGATGACATCATCAGCACTAACTTCTTCAGTGTGAAGTGAGCTGTTAATATCTCTTCGTCAGTGAGTGATTTAGTAAGTTCCCCTGACAAACTGGTTTGTGAGTGGGGTTGTTTCCTTTGATTGTTGTGTCGTTGACAGTGTAGATTTCCTCATTGTCTGGCTGTTCCTCTGCTTCACCTCTCACTTTTGTGTCATTTATCATTTTTCTTATTGGTTGATAGATCAGATTTATTTCTTTACATCTATTCATTACTGACTGGCCAACGATCTAAATGTCAAGCTTCTAGGAATTCTCTGATCATACCCTTTGTGTTTCCTCTTTCCATCCAAAATGTCTACATTGTCGAAATTGAATTCATGTCTTTAGTCGGTATCCACATGGATTGAGCAATGAGTGATGAAATATTGTGTGTGACATTTAATAGCCGATTGGTGTTTATGTGAATGACAAAGGCGAAGAGGTCGACCACTTTATCCAATTCAGTGTTGACTACAGTTATTGCAGTTGATTTTGTAAATGATATTCAGTTTGTCTTGTTTGATTGTTGCCTCTTTTGGTCTGCATAATAGTGTTTGTAGGGAACTTGTTGTTTTATGAGTGGCCACACCAATTCCATCATGTGGTCTCAGTAATCTTGTCATGATTGTGATATATATTCTTTATGTGAGGTAGGATGATGTGTTTGATGATTTCTGTCGACGACTTTGTAGTTGATGTTGTACGTGACAGGAATCTTCTGATAAAGTTTCATTGGTATCCGTTCTCTTTTATGATAGACATCAAGTAATTTTCTTCATTTCTCCACAAAGTTGTTTTACTGTACCTGTTTTGAAACTGAGTTGAATACATGGATTGGTCAACCCAGAGTAAACTACTTCATGTTGTCCATCGATCATTTTGTTAAGCTCAAAAGTGAAAAAAATTCAATCGAAGAATGAGAAGAAAAGAGGCGTAAACTACTGCTGAAATGACGTAGATTATTTCCAGGTATAGGACGTATTATTGCACCTGCATCACACAGATTTATCAGCCTCCAAATTCGATAGAGATTTACAACCCCATTGAGTGACTTACCTTTTCTTCTTAAAACTCTATGGACATCTTCTACGCTGCAGTGGAAAGAGTGTTGAATACCTGAAGCTTTTTATATCCTCCATCTTTAATATTCATGATTCACAGTAATAAAGTAGGATGAAGAAAACTGATGCGCAGTACACC